CTAGCACATACACACACTCTACACAACCATCAGACACACATACTCAGTACCACCAGCGTTTTCTCACACTGTATATAACCAAGATACCCACCCAATCTCACCCACTCTGTATAACCAGCATGCACACACTCTATACAACTTGCTCGCACGGAATCTTGGTACAACCAGCACACACAAACTCACTACGACGAGCACATACACACGCTCTATACAACCAGCACACACACACACTCTGTACAACCAGCACACACAAAAACTGTGCAACCAGCACACATACACAATTTGTTACTATCAGCCCCCACACACACCATACAAACAGCACACCCACACTCTCTCTATACAACCAGCATACACACACACTCAATACCCCAAGCAAAGACACGCACTATACAACCAGCACACACGCACTCCCTGTACAACCAGCACACACACTCTATACAACCAGAACACACACACCCTCTATACAACCAGCATTGACACATACTTAGTACCACCAATACATACTCTCAATATAACCAGCTCGCACACAAACTCGGTACAACCAGCACACACACACACACACACATACACACACATACACACACACACTTTCTGCAATCAACCCACACACACTCTATGCATACACACACAATCTGGACAACCAACACATACACACCCTCAATACCACCAGCACAGACACACACTATACAACTAGCGCATCCACACACACATATGCACTTTAGACAACCAACATACACACACATTGTCAACGACCAGCAAAGACACACACTCTGGCCAACTAGCATACACACACACACACACACACACACACACACACACACACACACCCCAGCAGCATGTTATGCAGCTGAGAAGTTGGCCCCCAAACTGAAATATCCACCAGGTGGCGGTGTTTTCGAGCCGGCAAGTAATGTGGCTCGATACATCTCTAAGTGCAGCCTGCCGCGTGTACAACAAAAAAAAGAATGGCACACATAACGTATATGCCACAATTGCTTGGTTTAAGTTGTCAATAACAAACAGCTGACCTTCATTTCAAAGTACTGCTGCACCACTCGCCTCATGGCACGTTACACATTCCCCGATAGGCAACACAACAATTCAGTTATGGGAGCACATACCTTCGTGCTGATGATAGCCTCCATTTTGAGGACCAGCGCATACTCTAGTGTACAGCCAACACACTCTCACACACAGTGCAACACACAAACCCTCTATACAACCAGCTCACACATACTTTCTCACAACCAGCCCATACACACTATGTACAAGCAGCACACACACACACACACTATTCAAACAACATACACAAACAGATAATACTCTCAGCACAGGCACACACTACAATGCCAGCATACAGACACTCTCTGTACAACCAGCAATCACACTCATTACAACCAGCCCACACACTGTGGTCCAACCAGCATAAACACACACACACAATCTGCCAAATCGGCGCACATATAGTCTATACAACCATTACGCATACACCCCGTTCAACTAGCACACATTCTCTGTACAGCCAGCACACACACTCTCTGTACAACCAGCAAATGCGCACTATGTACAACAAGCAAATACGCACTATGTACAATAAGCACACACAACCTCTGTACAACCAGCACACACAATCTGTACCAGTAGACACACTCAATACAACCAGCACACGTCTCTCCCACACACTATTTTTTTTAGCGAATCCACTTACTGGTTTGCCTTCTTTCCACATATATTCGCGGTGATGATATCCTCAAGTATGTAGACCCAGATGCCAATCAATATGACATGCAAGATGTCGGGCATAAAGATTCGATAAGGGTTGCCCCACGGTTCCGCTCGATCCTCCGCTTTTCCGAAGGTCCATAGAAAGCACTGCACACATGAAAAGAACACAAGGGGCGTTTGTGTGGCGTGAAACCTCACCACACACTATAATTCCACAGCATGGACATGTGTTTGTGGCCACCTCACCTTCGTCATGTGAGTCGAGTACTCCTTGGCGAGCTCCTTGTCGCCGGCGTACTTGCGCTGTTGCTTGACTGTGCAGTACTTGGCAGCACATGTCGGGTCCATGTTGTCCAAGTCTATGTTTGCCACCTCACCAATCGAGCATGGTTTTTTGGCTCCCGTCTGCTTGGTGCATGAGACCCTGCTTGGGCCCCATGACAATCCTATGCAAGTCGACAGCCACCTCGTCGATCTGCCCCGCAGAAAAAGGCCATCGAGCACTCCACAGCGGTCTCCTGCAGTTCGACGAAGCCCGTCAAGTAGCTCTCCCACTGTGAACGGTCGGCTGATACTCCCGTACTTCCGACCAAGTCGTCGGCGTTGCCCAGCGAGGGCGGAGCCAACACTCGACTCCCGTTAACAATGCGCACCCAGCGACTATGCCTATTGTAGGTGTGTCATATGCTACTGATGTAGATTTATTTCGAAAAACATCCATCAATACCAACATAATGATTCTATATGGACCACAAACTGCGATCACGTGATATAGTAGCATATTACAAACTGACGTCGTTTCTGGTTTTTTTTTTACCCTTGGACACATCAAAACCCTTAGTTCACCGGGATTACTGAAATGCCAACAGAATTCGTGGTGTGCAAGAACCAGCAACGGTGTATGTTAGTTCAAGTCCTATGCATTAATGTGGGCTGTATATTAATGCGGGCATCCCCGGGCAGTACAGGCACGGGCAGCAACGGGCGGCAACGGGCAGCACAGGCACGGGCAGCAACGGGCGGCAACGGGCAGCACGGGCACGGGCAGCAACGGGCAGCACAGGCACGGGCAGCAACGGGCAGCACAGGCACGGGAAGCAACGGGCGGCAACGGGCAGCACAGGCACGGGCAGCAACGGGCAGCACAGGTACGGGCAGCAACGGGCAGCACAGGCACGGGCAGCAACGGGCGGCAACGGGCAGCACAGGCACGGGCAGCAACGGGCGGCAACGGGCAGCACAGGCACAGGCAGCAACGGGCAGCACAGGCACAGGCAGCAACGGGCAGCACAGGCACAGGCAGCACAGGCACGGGCAGCAATGGGCGGCAACGGGCAGCACAGGCACGGGTAGCAACGGGCGGCAACGGGCAGCACAGACACGGGCAGCAACGGGCGGCAACGGGCAGCACAGGCACGGGCAGCAACGGGCGGCAACGGGCAGAGCGGGGGCGACTGCACCGGGTCCAGGAGCGGCGTTGCATGCAGCTGCAGGGTCGGCGCCGTGGGCTGCTGCAGGGGCGGCTTGCGGGGTCCCTGGGGCGGCATCGCGGGCTGCTGCAGGGTCGGCGCCGCGGGGTCCAGGGGCGGCTGCACCAGGGGCAGCTGCTCCAGGGGCCAGGGGCGGCTGCTGAGGTCCACGGGCGGCTGCACCAGGGGCGGCTGCTCCAGGGGCCAGGGGCGGCTGCTCTGGGTCCAGGGGCGGCTGCTCCAAGGGCGGCGTCGCTGGTGCAGGGCAGGCCCGCGCGCGGCTGCAAAGCAGGCGCGGACGCAGGTGAGGCAGAGGCGGCGGCCAGGGGGGGGGCGCCGCGACGAGCAGGGACGGCGCCCAGGGGGCGCCGCGACGAGCAGGGGCGACGCCCCAGGGGCGCTGCGACGAGCAGGGGCGGCGTCCAGGGGTCGCCACGACGAGCAGGGGAGACGCCGCGCGGGTCCCGCAGGGGCGTCGCGACGAGCAGGGCGACGCCGCGTGGGTCCCGCAGGGGCGTCGCGACGAGCAGGAGCGGCGACGCACGGGTCCCGCAAGGGCGTCGCGACGAGCAGGTGCGGCGCCTCGCAGGGCGCCGCGACGGGCAGGGTACGGGCGGGCAGAACAGGCCCGCGCGCGGACGTGGGGCAGGCGCGCAGGCGGCGTGAGGGCAGGCCACGCGCGGGGCAGGAAGACGCCGCGCGCCCAGGGCGCACGGCGGGCAGAATAAACCGCCACGCGCCCGGGGCGCATGGCGAGAAGGAAACGCCGCGCGACAGAACGACAGGCAGCGGAAGCGGTAGGTGGGCCCGCAGGCCAAGGAGGAACAGGGTCTGTTACCATGTTGAATAGTAGGAGTAGGGCCTAGGCTTAGTAGCCTAGGCCAAAGGGGGTCGAGAGAATTGTTGCAAGAAGAAGGGGATGAGCTAGCAAGCAGGTGGATACACATAGGAAACCCTAAGGGGCCGTACTCACTATAGAGTACCCCACTGCAGGCTAGACAAACTACGCATTCTGACACTCAGTACCCATCTCGACCTGACAAAAGAAATTTGTTACCGCTTAAAAACGTTAACAATCGAATTGAGCCGCATCCAAAAGAACCAGATAGTCGCGCCCTAAGGGCGTTCGCGTACACTTCGATCCGACACCAAGTTGTTCTGTTAAAACGCCCCACACGTCGACCGTGAGATAAAGTCTGCAGCTTGGACGGTGCTGCGCAACTGGCGCGACCATCGCATCCCATCCCGTTCGACCATCCCATCCCCCCACCCCTTCTATTTCTCCCATCAGCAACCACCTTTCCCTTTCTGGTACTTTCGCCATTCCTTGTTTTCTAATCGCCATTAGAAATTAGTAGCCTCCCAACCGAGCTTCCCACTCGACCGGGTTCCTATGCTATTCATATGGTACTTTAGGTAAGATTATGGCATATTACTTTAGTACATATAAGCCAGCTAGCCCTACGGCCAATCAACCGATTCTCTGTCAATTCAGGAGTTACTCAATGCAGCCCGTGCCAAGTTCCTTTGTAGCTGGAGTTCTTCCTAGAAGAGCCGCTGAAGTTACCTCAAACCCGGATGTGGGTACCTCTGGCTCTCCAGAAGCCATCGCGATGCACAGCAATGGGCTAGCACAAGGCCAGTCCGAGAACGATGTGTTTGGTGAAGGTACGTCACACTCCTCGTAGCAATTCTTACGAACAAATGACATGCGCATTTTCGGGTCACTCGATTTAATATACAAATGTACTTATTGCTATTTCTGATTGTTTTATAGAAGGGCGGAAGGGGAAACGCTCTACACCTATGCGCAAGGACAAGAAAGGTCGCGCGGCATCGCTTGCTAATGGCGGTTTTGGAGCAGACAAAGACACTCAAGACAATGGACAACATGCATCTGACGCCTCCCTTTCTGCTGCAGCAGGCACCATCTCTCCCTCCGCCGCCTATGCCAAAAATGCCGCTCAGCATCTCACCGCCGCCAATCAGTCAAGCCCTGTCATTCCCTCCGCCTCAGATTTCCTCTCAACTGCTGCTGCCACGCTCTCTCCTACCTATGCCTATCTGAACCCTTCCGCTCAGCATCTCACCGCCGCCAATCAGTCAAGCCCTGTCATTCCCTCCGCCTCAGCTTTCCTCCCAACTGCTGCCGCCACGCTCTCTCCTACCTCCGCCTGTCTGAACCCTTCCGCGCAGCATCTTACCTCCCCATGCCAGTCAAGCTCTGGCCTCCTCTCCGCCTCCACCTCCCTTTCTGCTGCAGCCAGCACTCTCTCTCCTGCAGCCGGCACTCTCTCTCCCTCCGCCGCCTATGTCAACAATGCCGCGCGGCATCTCACCGCCGCCAATCTCAAGCCCTGTCATTCCCTCCGCCTCAGCTTTCCACTCAACTGCTGCCGCCACGCTCTCTCCTACCTCCACCTGTCTGAACCCTTCCGTGCAGCATCTCACTGCCGCCAACCAGTCAAGCCCTGTCATTCCCTCCGCCTCAGCTTTCCACTCAACTGCTGCTGCCACGCTCTCTCCTTCCTCCGCCTGTCTGAACCCTTCCGCGCAGCATCTCACCGCCCCATGCCAGTTAAGCTCTGGCCTCCTCTCCGCCTCCGCCTCCCTTTCTGCTGGCACTCTCTCTCCTACAGGTGGCACTCTCTCTCCCTCCACCGCCTATATCAACAATGCCACGCACCATCTCACCGCCGCCAATCAGTCAAGCCCTGTCATTCCCTCCGCCTCAGCTTTCCTCTCAACTGCTGCCGCCACGCTCTCTCCTTCCTCCGCCTGTCTGAACCCTTCCGCGCAGCATCTCACCGCCGCCAATCAGTCAAGCCCTGACATTCCCTCCGCCTCAGCTTTCCTCTCAAATGCTCCCGCCACGCTCACTCCTTCCTCCGCCTGTCTGAACCCTTCCACGCAGCATCTTAGTGTCCCATGCCAGTCAAGCCCTGGCATCCTCTCCACCTCCGCCTCCCTTTCTGCTGCAGCTGCCTCTCCCTCCACCTCCGCCCCGTTAAGGACCTCTGCTCAGTATCCCACCTCCTCTTCTTAGTTAATGCCAGGCCTCCTCCCAAATGCAGCTGCCCGGCTCTCTCCCTCCGCTGCCTATGTGCACTTACTATTCCTGCACAGGCCAGGCCTGACATCCCACCTGGATCCACCTCGCCGCCACCTGCCCTCGATGCTCTCTCACCCTCGGCCCCCTATGCCAATCCTGAGTTGCAGCCAACCAACTCTCCTCAGCCTGGCACCAGTCTCATCTCACCAGCCTCTGCATCCCCTAGTACTGCAATGGCGACCCCTGCTACACAATTTCAACCGTTCGGACTCCCATGGACACTTCGTGCGTGAAACAAGAAATCAACTCTCCCAGACCCTGCACCATCACCTGAGGATGGGTCGGATGAAGACTCTGATGATGATGACTCTTTGGAGAATCAACCTGAGCATGGTTGTAAACAGCGGCCTGCTGCAACCAGGGTTTCACGTGAAGCTTTTGAGGCTGCGCAAGCTCAAATCCGACAACAGGCGCGACGCATAGCTGAGCTGGAGAATCAGCTACCTCAGCAAAAAGGCGCTCACGCTGGCGGTCACGCCATGGTTTAGCGCTAGGCTAGCATGCCTAGCCCTTCCCAACAGTTGCCGGTTGCACCCCAGCTTGCTCCTTCAACCACTGGACCTTGCACCCAGCCAAATGCAACACCACCTCTGATTTTCTCACCGGTGGTGTGGCCACGAACGCAGGCCGCTTTTGGCTGTGCTGTGGCAAAGGCCCACATCAAACGGCAGGCCATCGACTGCTCTGCAATGTCGCCACGGCAATGCGGGTGGTACAATAACGTCATCACGGCGTTAGATGCTTTCCCGGATGTGCACGATGACCTTAAGGTGAGAAGCAACCATTCGTTTGAACCTTCGTCGTGCTTTCTAATAACATTAGCATTGGGTGCCTACATCCCCCAACCCGCACACTCCTCATGCCACATGCATTCATGCCCTCCCTTCCCTCCCCTGTTCTCTCTCCCACCCTGCCGCTTTTTGCACTGTTTTTGTTTCTCTCCTGCAGGACCACATGGAGGAGGCTCTTGATAACATGTTTTTTTACACCCCAGTCACTGATTTTTCAATGTGGCCTAGTACCGAACGCCTAGAGGCAGCCTTGTGCAAGGCCCTAGGCCTCGCTAAGCCGGAGGAGCATTTTATCGCACGTATTGTTCTGAAAGCTGACAAGTAAAGGAACGGCTACATCCGTGACATGATTCAAGCGTTTCGCAACAACGCATTGATGGATGGGCGCAATTGGGTGTACGACGACTTCGACTTGTACGTGCCGAGGCCGAGGCTCGGTGGGAAGAGAGAAGGCACCCTTACGACCGTGCTGTTCTTGAGCCAGTACGCTGAAAATAAGTATAACTTAACACTCCTATCATACCCCTGCCCCTACCTCACCCCCGTTCCTCCCTCTCCTTCCACCTTAGAATGAAAGCTTTTCAACCCTTTCACACTCTATTATAGCCACTGTGTTGTTCTAATGTTTGGTTGAGGGCTTTCCTCCTTTCTGTCTATGCAAAATCACACAAATATCTGTCAAATAAACCCCTTTCCCAGCACATTCATCTTTTTCCCCAGGCCCTTCCTCCACCAACACCACCCTCCTACTTCCCCCACCCCTACCCGTCTTGCTCCTCCCCCCACCACCTCCTCGTCCACCTTTCTGCTGTGTACCCTCTTTCTTGCTAATACCCTCCCTGACATCGCTTCCCCACAGCAGCAATCACTGCCTGTATAATCCCGACCCATTAGTCCCCAGTGTACCCTCATTCCCACCTTGTGATCCCCTCCCCACCCCAGCAGCAAGTAAAGCCAGCCAAGTCAGAGCTCATCAGTCCCCAGTGTACCCTTATTCCCTCCCTGTTTTTCCCTCCCCACCCCAGCAGCAAGTAAAGCCAGCCAAGTCACAGGCCACCAGTCCCCAGTGTACCCTCGTTCCCTCCCTGTTATCCCCTCTCCACCCCAGCAGCAAGTAAAGCCACCAAAGTCAGAGCCCACCAGTCCCCAGTGTACCCTCATTCCCTCCCTGTTTTCCCCTCCCCACCCCAGCAGCAAGTAAAGCCAGCCAAGTCACAGCCCATCAGTCCCCAGTGTACCCTCATTCCCTCCCTGTTATTCCCTCCCCACCCCAGCAGCAAGTAAAGCCACCAAAGTCAGAGCCCACCAGTCCCTAGTGTACCCTCATTCCCTCCCTGTTTTCCCCTCCCCACCCCAGCAGCAAGTAAAGCCAGCCAAGTCACAGCCCATCAGTCCCCAGTGTACCCTCATTCCCTCCCTGTTATTCCCTCCCCACCCCAGCAGCAAGTAAAGCCACCAAAGTCAGAGCCCACCAGTCCCTAGTGTACCCTCATTCCCTCCCTGTTTTCCCCTCCCCACCCCAGCAGCAAGCAAAGCCAGCCAAGTCACAGCCCATCAGTCCCCAGTGTACCCTCATTCCCTCCCTGTTTTCCCCTCCCCACCCCAGCAGCAAGCAAAGCCAGCCAAGTCACAGCCCATCAGTCCCCAGTGTACCCTCATTCCCTCCCTGTTTTCCCCTCCCCACCCCAGCAGCAAGAAAAGCCAGGATAGGCCCAGCCTACCAGTCCTATGTGTACCTTCTTTTTCCATTTTGTCTGACTGATGATTCACATTCCAACTGTTTCACAAAGTATCGTATCTTTCCCCTACAACACGACGGGCCCTGCATCGTACGACACATGAATGAGCACCGTGTGCCGTTTGCATCACCTTGCTTCATATATGCAATCACTGCCTCATTCAAGCGCCCCCAAGTTCGCAGGCTTATTCTCCCGCTGAAGTTTCTAGCATTCTGGCTGAATGGGGTGAGTGCAGTTTGCTGCATCTACTACATGATTCCTAAGGATTTTCTAGTGCAGAGACTAATCATAGTGTTCCCTACAAACTCAGGTGGAGCACCGCGTCATCCACGGTAGAGATTTGCCGAGAAGCACCAACGACAACATCCGCGATGTGAACATTTATTATAACAAGATTTGGAACTAGACAAGAGCTGCCATTGGAGGAGCAACGGCCGCAAATGGTCCCTGGTGGCGGCCGGGTGTTGGAGCATGGTCGTTCGCGCGTAGCGATGTTGTTTTTATTAGTGATGAGGGTCTCTAGGGCCTTGTAGATAGTGCTTTCACATATTAATTTTGGTGTTTTGTAAATATAGCACTATTTGCCGTAGGTTTCACTGCTTCTGGTGTAGTGCTAATCAATGAATGCGCTTTTAAACAACAATTTGAAATTCAATAACGGCTCATTAAAATATACAATAAAAATGATTTATTATATTGAAATATTACCAAACCAAACTGTAACGAATTAAAAAATGTAGTGATTGATAGCAAGATCTTTGCAGCAGCATATCAATTGTATTACCCGCTCGTTTAAAGAACTTTGAATTAGTCACAAATTGAATTCCGCGGATCAAAGAAATATATATCAAAATTTACATTGAGCGACATCACCACATTTTGAAATTATCCTAAAGGGAACGAGTTGGGATAACCACTAGCGGTCCAACAATGTTGGAGGAAAGATAGGCCACTCCGAAGCTCTTCTGAAGAAGTGGTACCTTCCTCAACTGAGGGACGGCCAATCGCGCTAACTGCCGAACCAATACGAACTGGTTCGTGGTTGGTCCCTCGAAGTCGGGAATGTGCTGAGAGCGCTCTCTTCACACACAGCTCGAAAAGCATAATGCCCACCAACATCAGCCATACTTTTTGAACCATTACGAGGAAGTAAGATTGCAAGTAACACCAGAGCAGAATTTTTGCACGACAATTTTTCGGATGACGATGACGAAAAGAGGGACTAAGGCGTGTGAGAAGATTCAAGATCCGGAAGGCCATCTGTCTTCCAAGTAGCCTCTTGGCGGGACACTAAGAGGCCTTCCGGCTTCATTCACCCAGCTGTCTTCCTTGACGACCCTTGAGCTGGAGCAATGGGGTGGGATCGAGCTTCCGGAAGCCTTGGGAGAGCGGACCAGCCTACGGGAGCTGCCGATCATTGATTCCTTTATCTGCACTCTTCCTAGCTCACTGTCACGGCTGATGAGATTGCAGATCTTGGAGTTTAAACGCTGTAGGTCTCTCTCATAAGTACCCTCAAGGCTAGAAACGCTCGTGGGGTTGAAGAAGCTTGAGCTGATGGCATATCCGCAGCTGAGTAAACCCCCTGACGGTCTTCCCCCTTCTCTTGAAACCCTCCGCTTGGGGTTTTTCATGTGACGCTCTTCTCATGCGGTGGACATCTCGCAGCTATTGCAGCTGAGGGTGCTGAAGTTGAACTGTGTTGGGATGAGATGTGGGCCTGCAGTGAAGAGAAATTTGTCGTGCCTGGAGCAGCTAGAGCAAGTGGAGCAGCTGGAACAGCATTTTGAAGCACGACGGCCAGAGCTGCCAGTTCGTTTGTCTTCCCCCCTTCGCATGCGCAGCTTGTTGAGTGAGCAGCTGCAGTTGCTGCAGCAGCTGGAGCAACTTGAGCTGGCAAAGCAGCTCGAGCAGCTGGAGCAGCTGGAGATGCGTTTGGAACCTGACAGTCAGGAGCTCTCGATCCCCCTGACCTTTCTCCCTCGCCTGCTCAGCTTGCTGATAGAGGCACCAGGAGTTGGCTACCTCCCTGAAAATATGGCTTCAGAGATGCCATAGCTGCGGCACCTGGAGCTTCTTTCCTGGTCAGCGATGGAGCTGCCAGGCAGTATAGTGGAGCTCAACAAGCTGACATCACTTAAGCTTCGCGCACCCAGGCTAACGTCGCTACCTCAGGGTATGAGACGCTTGTCTCGGCTGCGCAAACTGGCGATGTTTGGCTGCAGCGCCTTGGAACAGCTCCTGGAATCACTCACTCAGCTGCAGCAGCTGATACTCCATTACACATCCATCCCCTCCCTCCTTGCCAATCTGCAGCTAATTCAGCAGCCTTGACTTGGCTGGTTGCCTCCAGGTGGAGACAATCTCAGACGACCTGATTCAGTTGAAGGCACTTTGGTATCTGAGAGGTTGCTTGCAGGGCTGTCTGATGCTTCATAAAACGTTTTTTGAGCTAGGTCTGCACCTGTGAAGTTGGTGCCACGGTAGGTGAAGGAAATGCGTGACTAGGCAGTTTAGAGACCTGTGGTGTGCTCTCTGCTATTTCTAATCGTGCCCCTGTTTCTTGTTTGGATTGCTAAAAAATGTGCCCGATTGTATGCAGTGTGCATAATCAAACCAATTTTAGTGGAAGACAGCAAAATATTTCAGGCCGCGTTGTCAAGTCTAGGCTTGTTAGCATCAGTGGACCAACCCCGTTTGGCAAATAAACATGTGGGAGAAGCTGTGATGTGAATGCTGCCAGGAGGGCAACTGATCGTTGTGGCACCTCATGACAATGATCATGTGCTATTCTATGCAAATATGTGCTGGAAAAAACACATCGATATGCAAATATGTGCTGGAAAAAACACATCGCTTTCATCTTGGAGAACGGGGGCTTGAGGAATGGAAGGAGGGTGTTATCATGAATGCAGCAAGCAACTATCCTTGGAAGATATGAAATTGCAAGATGCTTTATGAAGGTGCTTCATGGCAACCAGCAAGGGTCTTGATTGAGGTTCCAATCGAGCCGCCAACTTCCTCCGGGTTGCGATCAGGTATGATGGGTCATGGTATGGTTCTGGTAGTTTGATGCGCTGTCATTTATGTTCAACGTTGCGTGTGTATGTCGTGTCGTATGCATGTGGGATTTGGTGATGAGTTGGTGGATAGTCCCTGTGGTGGAGGAGAGAGGTACAAATGTTGATATCGTCCATCTGGGAATCGTTGATGACTTGCTGTTGAGTTGTTGCGAGTGGCTGTGGGATGGACGTGAGAGTGAGTCGAGGGAGATGATAAGCAAGCCAGATGATTCGAAAGGTGGTTTTAGGCAAGGTGAGACTCATTCCTCCATGCCCCCTCCAACTACCTCACCTCCCCTCTAAATTTCTGATTTTTTTTCTCCCAGTTCCCATCCTCCCACCCTTCCCCCCCCCCCTCCACACCTGTTTCTCCTAATCAGACTTATGCCTCCCACGGCGCAGGCGCAGATCGAGCACTGTCCCTTTGCCTCCCCAAACCCTCTCTCTCCCCTCTACCCCCATCCCCACCCGCCCACCTTTCCCCCACCCCTCTTCCCCCCCTGCTTCCAGATCCGCATCTGCGTCTCCTACAACGACGTCTGGCCCAAGGACTCACGCCCCTTGTGTGCGGGCGCCACTGTTCACGGGCGATTGCGTGCTGCTGGGAGGGTGTCCCGAGGCCACAAACGCGATGAAGCTGGGCAGGAGAGGCTGCAGGCGAAGGTGGGCAGGCAGGGCTGCTGGGTGCCCCATGACGGTTGTGCTCCTCACAAGCAGTAGCAGAAGGAGGTGGGTGCTTGCTTGCCTGTGGTGAATCCTTGTGGTTAGCAACCTATCTGGGACAGCAGGCTGCTGAGTACCCTGTGGCCGTGCTCTCACGTGACTCTCACGTGATGCTCAAGTGATCCAGCATATTCTAGTTGTTCTCTGGTCAGAAAAGCCTTCGATTCGATGATCTCCAATGGGCATACTGAGTGCCGCTGACGTCCTCTAGAAGGCGCCCGCCTGAATGCCACCTGGATGAGTGCCTTGCGTTTATGTGCTTTTTAAGCTGCCCTATACTTCGTGAATGCTGCACGACCTATGAATGTCCGTGGGACTCACAAGGACCGACATTATACAACATAGCTTCCTTCTTCCCCCATCACTCAACACTTCTCTTTCACCCACATCACACACACTTCCATGTAACCCCTCCTGGCTGTCTCACTGGCCCCTTCCACTGTCCACACCTACCCCAATCACTTCCCACATTATGAAACAAACCATTCTATACAGTACATTGCCAGTTTCTCCCCCAGCCCCATCACTCACCGCCTCTCTCTCATCCACATCACCGAACTCTTCCTCTGACACCCTTTGGGCTGTCCTACTAGGCAGCTCATCGCATTATCCCTTCCATGCACTTCCCCTCCATGTCCTCCCGGTCACTCTTGGCCTTGCGGCAGTTGTGGAAGTGGGTAAGGTGAGTGTTCCTCCTACACTTGTTGCTTGTCTACACGAACTCACAGTCTCATGCCCCTACGGCACTATACCCCACATCCCTCTCATACGCTGCTATACCCACGGCTGCCCTAGTGCACGGACTCGACCCCTCACAGCGCAGGCATATTTTTTACCAAGGCACTACTCCCCCTCCCCTCCTCATGCCCTCTCCCTCTCCCCACTCCTCCTCCAGTTCCGCACTCCTACGTCAACGTCTGCACCACGGATTTCTGCCTCTCTGTGTGCCGCACTGCTCTCACCCACGTGCTGTCCCTTTCTTTTCCCTATCCACCTTCCCCACCCTTCTCTCGTCTTCCCACCAGATCTTCTCCCCACCTGCTTTTCTGCACCAATTTCTGAACCACCGACTCCCACTCCCGCGACACTGTCTCCCAGCCCCTCTCACCAATCACTGTGCTATTCACCCTTTCCCCCTCTCTCGCAGCCGCTACCACCTCCGCACCTGCTTCTCCAACAGACAGGCTTGTGCTTCCACCGATTCTCACCCCTACGGTGCGAGAGCACTATTTAATCAAGCAGGGGCTAGTGACGTGGCGAAGGGGTGCAAGAGGCTACAGGCGAATTGAAGCTGGGCCCCGCGGGGGACTTCAGGCGAATTGAAGCTGGGCGAGGCTGTTGGGTGCCTCGTGGGGGCGTTCTTCCTGAACGACGGGCAGCGGACCAGCATCAAGAGAATTGGAGGTGCGTTGTGAGTGACTGAGATGTGGTAGGCTTGGCTGCTTGTGAGCCACAAGCTGATCACGGGTGAGGCGAGGCTGGTGGGGCTGCTTGGTGTAGCGTGACCAGCTGTGTTCTTCCTCCAGGTCCAGTAGCAGGTCACTCTCAGGTCACTCTCAGGTCAGTCTTAGGTCACTCTCAGGTTGGGTCGAGCAAGTACCGGAACTGAGTCGAACCAGTCCACGAGTCGATTCGAACCAGTTTGATCGAGTCAAGCCAACACTGAGATTCAAGCCGATCCAGCTTGGCAACAGCATCTCTCCCGTGGATCTCAGAAAAATCTTCGCAAGTCCTTCACTAGCTGTCCAGCATGTCTGTGAAAGCTCTGTTGGTTAACCACGGCTCAGCACTCTAAGTCAAACCGAACCAAACGGTTCCTCTCACTCCTGTGCAGGTTTGACTCAACCCTTAGATTGCAGCATAATACTTTGCTCAACATAATTCTCAGGCCAGTCTCAGGTGATTCAGTTGTGTTCAGGATTGATCCACAGGAGGATAAATACCCTGCCGCTGAATGTCCTGTGCCTGAATGCCTTGTGCCTGAATGCCATGTGCCTGGATACCCTCTGCCTGAATTCTCTTTGCCAGAATGCCCTCTGCCTGAATTCCCTTTGCCTGAATGCTCTCCGCTGGAATTCCTCGTGATATGCAGTGGCAACCGTCTTGAGTGGCATGTGCATGCCAACTGTAAAGAGTAGGGGACCAAGAGGGTCCCCTTGATGAATGCATGTTTGGCTGATGAAGCGGGGATGATAGGCTGCTGGGTACTGCATGGTGGTGTTTCAGGGCGGGCGAGCAAAGGGAAGGGGAGCAGCTGGGCGGGTCTCTGGTGGGTCACGGGTGAGGCGGGGCTGGCGGGGCTGCTGGCTGTCATCCTCAGGGACGCGCAGAGGGAGAGGGCGGTGGGAGTGTAGTGAGATGGTTGTAAGCTACTCGTGCATCACTATCAGCCTCGTGCATGCGAGGCTGGGAGGAGGTGCTGGGTGTGTTGTACGAGGGAAGGGGGCTGATGATGGGTTAGGGCGCGTGTGATCTATTTTAAAGTTTGGAAAGAAGTTCAAGCTTTGGGTGGTTACCTGTTTCGCACATTTCGCCAAATCAGATTAGCGAAACCATTATATTATTGGGCACGTAAAAGTTTGAGTTCGAAATCTGAACTTGACTCGAGTTGGAGTTGTGAACGTGCGTGCGCACGTTCATTCGAGCGTGTGTGATTTGTAGCACGTACGAAACGCAGGCAAAACGGGCAACCGCTTCGCGAGTGGCTTAAATGGCACGACGAAGTTACTCCACAATTCAATACAATGAGTAGTAGCCACGTGGCCAGATTCGTGCGAGTAACCTATGATGTAACGAGCCGGGTAACCTATATTGTAGACGTGCAGCTCGGCGCGTTTTTTACAAGCTCGAATGTCGGGGTTCGACCTTGTATGTGTGTGTGCTTTTTTACTGTGTTGTAGACCTGATGTTCGAATTTCGATACAAGACAAGTCGAATTTCGTTCGACTTAAGTTCGTTTCGCCAAAGTCGCCCTAAAAACGTAAACTTTTACAATTTTCGAAGACCACACACGCCCTTACCAGCAGGTCACTAGTAGTGAGCGAGTCTGCTGGGTGGCGGCAGCTATCTTCCTCAAGGATGAGCAGAGGGTGGGCTGTGACTCTGTGCTGTGAGTGATGGAAGTGGGCTGCTAATGGGTCACTGGCTGGCCAGTGGCAGGTTTGGAACACGCCGGGCTGATTGCTCTGCCTCTGTGTTGTCCGTGGTGACAATTAGGGATTAAGCCAAACTGTCACTCCCCCTTCGCATCACTCGTCGTTTCTTTGCCACCAATCTCACCAGCCTCTTCTGCTTGCCACTAATGCTGCTCTCCCTCTTCCTCTCGCTCCTCCTCTCCCCCCTCCGCTCCTCCTATCCCCTCTTCCCCAATCCCTCCAATCTCCCATCAGGTATGCGTAGTGCAGACAGCCAGTGGCGTCCATCTCACACCGTCTCGCCCTCACAGCTCTCATCAGCATCTCTCATTGGCCTCTAATGCTACTCTCCTTCCTTGCCTGCCTCGCCACCATGGCCACCACCATCTCTGGCGTCAACTGAACCTGGCTGCTTATGCCAACCCCTTCTTCTAGGCAATCCCCCCACCACAACTTTAGAAGCCCCTTCAAAGCCAACCAAAGGAGATTGGCACACCTCTCCATGAAATGCTTTTTCGTCACAATAAACCGTTTTTGTTTCCTGCTTCCTATTCTTTTCCCTCCCCCACTCCTCCCCCCCAAAACCCCCAACCTCCTCCCTCTCCCCCCTACAGGTGGAGCAGATGCAGCAATGATTAACCCGGCAGCTCACACCAACCGTCTCTTCCCCCCTCCCGCCCCACTTCCCCTCCCGCCCCACTTCGCCTCCCGCCCCACTTCCCCTCCCACCCCACTTCCCCTCCCTACCTTCCTCCTCCCTCCCCCCCTCACCCTCCCCCCTTCCCCCCTATGGCAGTGTGTTAGTGGCCAAAAGCATGCTTCATCCTTGCCTGGATTACCCTCTCGTTGTCTGCCTGGCTGCGCGCTCAATCCTCCTCCCATAAGTTGTGAGGTTATCAAGACCAAGGGGAACGGTTTCGTGACCTCCCAGGTCATCCCAGAAGCCATCTTGTTTCCCCATTATGCTTCATGCATCTCGTCGCTTCTATCTGTGGCTGCGTCTTTGCACGCACACCCCACTGCAAGTGTTGAGGGACAAGACCAAGGGGTAAGGGCTCGTGAGATTCGGTGAGGCGATGGACTGTGCTGCTGCTCTCAAGGAGATGAATGGGTGAGCGGGTGATGTGTCAAGATAGGTGAAGTCAATAGGGGGTCAATAAAGTGAATGGTTGGTCAATATAGTCAACGGGAGAGTCAGTGAAGTGAATGGTAAGTCAATGTTGAGTCAAGATTTGGTGAAATAATGGACTGTGCAGTCAGTGAAGTCAATGCGGGGGTAACGCTTGCGCTCGAATTCCCACTCCCTCTCTTGCTCACAGTCACACTTATCTTCACATTCCCACTCACCCTCCGACTCACACTCACCTTCCGACTCACACTTCCACTTGCCCTCCCACTCGCACTCGTACTCACACTCTCACTACTGTGGTTGGCCTACCGTTCCTTGCATCCCATAATTCCTTGCCAGAATGCCAGAAGATTGCACTTCACTTCCACCTTTCAGCAGTCTCCGTTCACTTGATAACTATCAGGAACCATTTAGAATGATCCATGCATTTGAGACTTACCAGTTCACTGAAAAAAAATCGCAGTAGCATTTTGCATGCCTGTTCTTTGTCAACAGCCGCCCTTCTGAATTCATATTTGTGCCTTCATCATCCCCACCTTTGCGATATTCACAAGCTTTCCTCCCACCCATACCCCACGCTCCAGGCTGCTACTCTACCTGCCCCAACAGGCCCTATGCTTCATGTGCAAGGGCCAACATCAGCACAATGATCATCATAGTTCTGCTGGCTCTACGGTGGTACTGTGCTCTGCCTCTGCTCCTTCATCATCCTCGCCTTCCACACCAGCAAGGAGCTGCCGTCTCGTCGCTCAACAAGATCTCGCCAATAGGCAGAGGCCAATTTGTGCTGGAGTGGATCCTGCTGAGCAGCAGTCTACTTCCACTGATGTGCAAAAGTGCCTCCCACGGGTGGCGCCACGTTCCCTTCCTTCTTGCCCATGGATGCTACGGCATGTCACCATGTGGCATGACGTCAAGAATCTCTCCTTTAATGTAGCAGGCAGCTGCTGATTGGCCATCCTTTTGGACCACCTCAAATTTGAAAAAAAACAAAATGCATGCTGTTCAGTAGTTATTGTATAATGGCACCTAGTACCTATTTCCATCCATACAACCTCCATCCACTACATCAAGCTTGGCTTCACTACACAATACCCTGCATATCATAGTTCCAAAGCACAGTATTCTACAGCCCTACTCTGATCTACAGTACACACGTAACCTTGAATGACCCAGTTCCATCTGACACACAAAAAAAAAATGTTAGAATTAAAGCCTACGGTATTACCGAACCGATCGGTTGGCAAAGGGCAACTTTGAATGTGTCCTAGGCGAAGACATGTGTCCTAAGCACACTAGGCAAGATTCTACCAAATTGCTACTTCACAACTTCACAGGGGGTATGAAAGCATTGCACCACCATGTTGCAGCCACTATACACATCCCTCTCCCTGAACTGAGCCGCATCACAAAGAGCAGCACACTAGAGAGCCTGCCAATGCATGACACAGGCATGGGTGGGATGGAATGGAAAGGCATGGGTGGCATGAAAAGGCATGGGTGGGATGGGATGGAAAGGCATGGGTGGGATGAAGGGATGGGATGGAAAGGCATGGGTGGGATGGAAAGGCATGGGTGGGACGAAAAAGGCATGGACTGGATGACAAGGCATGGACTGGATGACAAGGCATGGGTGTTTGAAAAGGCATGGACTGGATGACAAGGCATGGGTGTTTGAAAAGTCATGGACTGGATGACAAGGCATGGGTGTTTGAAAAGGCATGGACTGCACGACAAGGCATGGGTGTTTGAAAAGGCATGGACTGGATGACAAGGCATGGGTGTTTGAAAAGGCATGGACTGGATGACAAGGCATGGGTGTTTGAAAAGGCATGGGTGTGCTAACAAGGCATGGATGGACTGGTTCGCCATGGGTGGGGTGAAAGAACAGAGTTTGATGCTCTTTTGAGGAGATGCTTGCACTGCTCATTCAATAAAACTTTTTAGTACCAAACTATAGCTCATGTACAGACTAATCTCCTACCTGGGGCTCTCTCGGACTCACAAGACAGAGTTGGATCCAGTGAGGAGAGGCTAGACAGTGCAGTTGAAACAGCACCAAACTGCACAAGCAGGAGTGCAGGGGCGGAAAGCAGGAGTGCAAGGGAAGAAAGCAGGAGTGGTAGTGCATGTGGGGAAAGCGGGCGTGGGTGGAAAGGAAGAGTGCAAGGGGGGAAAGCAGGAGTGAAAGGGTGAAAAGCAGGACCAGAGGAAACTTAATTAACTTGGAATTACATGAGTGAGAAAAGTAGGGGGTATGAGAGGAGTGGGGTGGAGGGTATGAGAGGAGTTGGGGAGTATGAAACGAGTTGGGGATATGAGAGACTTGAAGGGTGTGAGATGAGTGGGGTTTATGGGAGGATATCAAAGGAGGAATGTGGGGTTTTGTGTGTGTGAGTAAGAGACAAGAGGGGGTATGAGAGGAGTGAGGGGTTAATTGAGTGACGAGTATGAAAGGTGTGTGAAATATGGGAGGAACGGGGGGGGGGGGGAGAGAGTGAAATGGGGGGTATGAAAGGAGCGAGGGTTATGAGGGGGACATGCCTGAAACCGGGGGGTATGAGAGGAGTCTGGAGAGAGTCCGGGGTACTGGAATGAAAAAAAAAAATATACATGTGCTCATCTTTCCAAAACCCTCTTCCAAAAGGCATCTCTCAATTTCTTGGCATACATATTTCAGGATTATATCTCTCCTCGTATGCACCATTTCAATCTTGTCTGATGCATATTTCAATATAGGTACCTCATGTACCATCTTTATGGAGTGCGTATATGAGAACCTCGCTCAAATCTACCTACATGGACCCTTGGGTATACTGCCATGCTGGTGCACTAACTACGGTAGAGACCTCAGCCTATGAGGTCGAAAGCACCATCAATGCTGGAGCAAGTCAGACACCCTTCAGTAGAATAGAGCATTCCGAGACTTGTTAGGCCGAGGCTCAAGGTTCTTGCAGTTAAAAGAAATGGAGCATCATAAGGTAAGACTGCTAACTAAGCTGCCCCAAAGCAACAAGGAAACAACTAGGGTGCTCGAGTTGCATCTTCAGCGCTGGAGCAGGTCACAACCCCCAGTATCAAGAATGGCGAGCATTGGGAGATCTCGTATGTCATCAGGCAAAGCCTAGAGCTGCTTGCAATTCCCAAGCTTGAGCTTCCTCAGCCTGCTAAGCTGAGCAAAGCCAGGAGGAAGCAGGCCGCTGCCGGTGCAGCTGACATCCAGCTCATGCAGACAGGAGAGCTGCGTGAGTGAAGCAGGGAGATGCGTGAGGTATGAGCAGAAGGATAAGTCCAGCCTACGCAGTCTTGAGAATGCTCCAATGGTGTCCGAAAGAGAAGACAACTTGTGATCGTCTATTCGAATGGATGTGAGGTGGTGGAGAGTGGTGATGGCCGCAGATAGCTCTGTGAGTTTCCACGTGAGGTCGATGGTCAGCTGCCGTAGCTCCTGCAATGCCCAGCCATCAGCTCCCACCAGCTTCTTTATGCTGCAAGCCATGTGGAGTGTCAAGGTGCGGAGGCGAGAAAGCCTTGCCAATGCAGACAGAGACTCCTCGGTATCATCTTCCAACGTGAGCTCTAGGTGCTCCAGACCATTCAGACGGCTGCTGATGGCCTTAAGACATGTGACACCCACAGTGACCAAGCACAGTTTTCTCAGGTCTGTGAGTGTTAAAACGCCTGACTGAAACACCAACTGCTGGTTGCCGTCATAAGATAGTTCCTGGAGACTGAGCGGAAGAGCCTGAGGGACTTCCTTCAACAGACCATATCCCATCAGCTCCAACTGCTTCAGCCTGGTAACGCTGTCCAGCCTCCGGGGAACCGACATGAGCTTGTTACACTTTTCAAACCTAAGCACTCGAAGGCTGCCAAGCGCCGTCAACGATTCCGGAAGCTCCCTGATGGCTGGGCACTTCCGAATGCACAGCTCCAGCAGGTTTGTCATCTTCGCCATGCCCTCCGGAAGCTCAACAAACTCACACTAATCCTGCACCAACCTGGTCAGGGAAGCCAGTTGCGTGAATGAGGATGGCAGCTTGTCTTGGCTGCCATGACTGAGACAGAGAGTTTGCAGACTGGTCAGACCCCCGCCAGGCAGCTCGCCCTTGCTCTTCCACACCATAAAAAATGACTCCAGAGATGCGAGTCTGGTGAAGGACGCAGGGAGGCGGAGCAGCGGCAGCTCGTGCGGCAGCAGCACCTTCGAGGCTGCTAGATCCCCAAAGTTTTCAGATAGCAAGGACACGGGGCATGAGAAAATGGTCAAGCTCTCCAGGCAGGCGAGGGAAGTGAACTGATCGGTTAGATCGCTGAACCTTTCGCAGTTACTGATGCTGAGCTCTTGAAGGCTTGGAATTTGCTCTCCTATACTGTTAGGAAGCCGCTCGTGTCTATAGCAGTTAGTAAGCTGCAGTCGTTTCAAGACCCTGTATTGACAATTGGGACATGAAAAATCGCTAAACTCGAACCGTAGTTGGAGTTTCAGTGACTCGAGGAACGGTAGCTGCGCGTGTGAGAAGCCAGGCGTTTCTTCAGAACTGAGGCTAATTTTAGGCAGGGAGAGGCGGGTGAGGTTGGTGAGGTGAAGGAGGCTGGAAATCTGGGCATTAGAACGGCTAAAGTTTGCAAAGGAAAGTGTAGTGAGAGAGGAAAGCGAGCTTAGTTGTGGAGCAGCTAAGATGGAAGCTTGATTTTTGAGAATGAGGATGTGCAAGGGCAGCCAAAAGAGAGAAGCTGGAGGATCCACACAGTCATTGAGCCAATACAGCGATAGCTGCTCCAGTTGAGGGCAGTGACAGGCAAGATGATCCAATCCGAATTTGTCTATCAGGCGGGTGGCTCCATATTTGTCCTTGCGCGCAGACAGCATCAACTCTCCCACGTGCAAAGCTCTCAGCCCAGGGCACGCAGCAGCGAGATCAGCTAGAAAGGTGTTGTCCAGAGCTTCAACACTTCCATCCAACACATGCAGATGGGTCAGAT